TACTGCAGAACTTGGAAGAGGTTGTTCGGTGACTGAATCAGGTGTGTTAGAGCAGGGAAAAATGTAAAACATGTAGGGCTGCGGCCCTCGAGGACCATGATTGCCCACCAGTGAGCTTCTCACTGTAAGGTGACAGCTCTAACCTGCACCACCATGCTGCAATTTATCAGCACGCACAAACCAGACATATATTCTAATCACTCTATAATGGTGTTTGATTTTGAATTTGAATAAAATATTGTCTCTTTAGAGATCATTTCTATGTTTTCTGTTCTAAATCCCTTCTCTTACAGTGTGGATAATCATGACACTTCTGTAAAAACACAGTGAGCAGAGGCACTCCACTGCCTCCGATAGATGAGTTCAAATTGCTTCATATTTATTTATAATTCTTTAAAAAAGCTGTTTGTTTCTGGTACTTATTTGTAGTCTTGCACTTGAATTTGTGTTTTATTTTAGCTGTCTTTAACACTATTCCAGCCCAGTGAATATATTCCCGCTGTGTGCTAAAAACCATCCTGATAAAACACACACTGTATTTGTCTGACTAGGTACTTGCCAGAGCAGATACACAATGCGTTAGGGTCGAACGGAGATGGTTACTAATTTTACCTGTGCCCCGGGATCACACAGTGTGGATCATAAACGTCTGTCACAAAGTGTAAAAAAAAAATAATAACCTCAATTTATTTTTTTATTTTTATCAAGCAGTTTGATGGGAAAGAACAAAAGTTAATTTATGAAGCTGACAAGCTGTCTCACGGGGGCACGAGGTTGAACAAATATAATTAGTTGACTCCGACCTTTGGAAGAGTCGTCTTCAATGGGCTGCTTGAAGGCCGTGATGTCGCTGAACGTGCACAGGAACAGAACCACTTTCTCCTGCTCGTTTCGAATGGGAGCAATCTTCACAAAGAACCAAACCGGTGTTCCTGAAAAAAAAAAAAAGAACAAGATACGTTTAGCTGAGTCGTCTGCCTCTGAGTCCACACACGTGAGAAATTTTGATTGCATACAGGTGCTGGTCATAAAATTAGAATATCATGAAAAAGTAGATTTATTTCAGTAATTCCATTTAAAAAGTGAAACTTGTATATTATATTCATACATTACATACAAACTCATATATTTCAAATGTTTATTTCGTTTAATTTTGATGATTACAAATGACAACAAATGAAAATCTCAAATTCAGCATATCAGAAAATTAGAATCTTGTGAAAAGGTTCAAAATGGATGGCACCTGGTACCACACTCTAATCAGCTAATTAACTCAAACCACCTGCAAAGGCCTTTAAATGGTCTTTCAGTCTAGTTCTATAGGCTACACAATCATGGGGAAGACTGCTGACTTGACAGTTGTCCAAAAGACGACCATCGACACCTTGCACAAGGAGGGCAAGACACAAAAGGTCATCGCTAAAGAGGCTGGCTGTTCACAGAGCTCTGTGTCCAAGCACATTAATAGAGAGGCGAAGGGAAGGAAAAGATGTGGTCAAAAAAAATGTACAAGCAAGAGAGATAACCGCACCCTGGAGAGGATTGTGAAACAAAACCCATTCAACAATGTGGGGGAGATTCACAAAGAGTGGACTGCAGCTGGAGTGAGTGCTTCAAGAACCACCACACACACACGTATGAAAGACATGGGTTTCTGCTGTCGCATTCCTTGTGTCAAGCCACTCTTGAACCACAGACAGCGTCAGAAGCGTCTTGCCTGGGCTACAGAGAAACAGGACTGGACTGCTGGTGAGTGGTCCAAAGTCATGTTCTCTGATGAAAGTAAATTTTGCATTTCCTTTGGAAATCAAGGTCCCAGAGTCTGGAGGAAAAGAAGAGAGGCACTTCATCCATGTTGCTTGAAGTCCAGTGTAAAGTTTCCACAGTCAGTGATGGTTTGGGGTGCCATGTCATCTGCTGGTGTTGGTCCATTGTGTTTTCTGAGGTCCAGGGTCAACGCAGCCACATACCAGGAAGTTTTAGAGCACTTCATGCTTCCTGCTGCTGACCAACTTTTTGGAGATGCAGATTTCATTTTCCAACAGGACTTGGCACCTGCACAAAGTGCCAAAGCTACCAGTACCTGGTTGAAGGACCATGGTATCCCTGTTCTTAATTGGCCAGCAAACTCTCCTGACCTAAACCCCATAGAAAATCTATGGGGTATTGTGAAGAAGAAGATGCAATACACCAGACCCAACAATTCAGAAGAGCTAAAAGCCACTATTAGAGCAACCTGGGCTATCATAACACCTGAGCAGTGCCACAGACTGATCGACTCCATGCCACGCCGCATTGCTGCAGTAATACAGGCCAAAGGAGCCCCAACTAAATACTGAGTGCTGTACATGCTCATACTTTTCATGTTCATACTTTTCAGTTGGCCAACATTTCTATAAATCCTTTGTTTTTATTGGTCTTCAGTAATATTCTAATTTTCTGATATGCTGAATTTGAGATTTTCATTTGTTGTCATTTGTAATCATCAAAATTAAATGAAATAAACATTTGAAATATATGAGTTTGTATGTAATGTATGAATATAATATACAAGTTTCACTTTTTAAATGGAATTACTGAAATAAATCTACCTTTTCATGATATTCTAATTTTATGACCAGCACCTGTAGTGTAACGGAAGAATCTGTTTTATTTTTCAAATTTCCTTCCTTTTTTTTTCTGCGTATGAAGGTTCCACTTGCACATGGAAATAGTCATATTTTCCACAGGAAAGTTGTTCCAGTCTGGCTCTCTGACCAATTAGCAACATTTCTACAGATGCAGAAATGTTCCGGGATGCCTTTGAACTCTGCTGTAAGCTACACAGGCTCTGAGTGCATTTGCATTACAAAAGAGTGGAGATTGACTTTTTTTTTTCTTTCTCCATGATCACCATTACTACTTACTGTTCTTCTTGTACATCAGTATTTCAAACGAGTTCATCTCATAATTCTCAAAGGTTAGTCTGACTTTTTCCGTCGTGTCCTTGTCTGTGAGCTCCCCGTACATGAAGCTGAAAAACCAAGAAAGAAAGAAAGAAAGAAAAAGACAATCACTATTAAAGTACTGCATGAACAGCATGCTGGGCAACTGTGTCCTTTTTGTATCAAATTGTTGCACAAATTACATATAAAGGAGCATCTATGTCCGTCTAAATTGTTGTTCATTAACTTTTTTTTCCACAAATCACAAAATGCATCTCTGATTTACAGTCAGCACCAACATCAAATTCAGATAAGCACCCCCCCCCAGCTGCCAAATTAACCCTCTTAATTTTCAAATGAGCAGCTGTTTCTCTGGCCACCATTGTTATATCTGCTCCAAAGCCACTGGCCACCATTGTTATATCTGCTCCAAAGCCACATCTGCAAACTGTAAAATGTCTCACACCACATTCCCTGATTTTGTCAACAACAGCACCATGCAAAAAAAAAAAAAAAAAAAAGCTGTGAGCTAAATGCAACCAGTGGGGGTAATATGTTTGTTTGCTTCAATTTGTGTTTTTTATTTTATTTTATTTTATTGTCAAAGCTTAAATGGCACAGCCAATTAAACAGCAACACTAATTCTAAAAATACCAAAATGGGGGACATTATGTAAACTATAAATGCAAACCAAATTCAATAAAATGAAAATCTCATAAAAACCCATCATTTATTCACAGTAGAAACAGTAAACATATTAAATATTTAAAGTAACGTTTAGCACTTCTGTGGGGGGGGCGGGAAGGAAGCACTTTTAAACTTGATGGCAACATGTCTGAACTGGAGATGATGAGATATTCAAAGTCTTCCTGGTTTTCCCAGTGCGCAGGAACATTATTCTGAAATTGTTCCACTATTTTCAGATAATGTTTTACGCAGATTGGTGAATGCCTGCCTATCTTTACTTCTGAGAGACTCAGTTTCTCTAAAATGCTCTTTTTACAACTAGTCCTCCTAACCTGTTGCCAATTTTACTAAATAGCTGCAAAATGCTCTTCGAGCTGTTTTGTATTCGCACCACTTATGTTTACAGTTCTTTGTTGTCCCTGTTCCAACTTATCTGAAATGAGTTGTCGTTAAATTCAAAATTGTCTCATTTTTCCTAGAAATTTTACAGCTTCTTTGTTTAAACCTTTGTCATGTTGACTATGTTCCATTGTGAATGAAATACAATACGTTAATTCTGTTTAGATTTTTATTTGGTGTTTTATCAAACCTCCAGTTTTTTTTTAAATTTGGGTTTGTTAAAGGGTCTGTGACACGCTTATCCTTCAAATACAAAAAGTCAAAGAAAAAGTATTTATATTTAAGAAAATTAGCATAATACATATGATTTTACCCATTTTGTCTCATAACTGGCTTATTTTCTCTTGAATTTGGCTCAGCAAAGTGAAACAGGAAGTGACATCAAAGGGGAACTCTTTAAGAAAACAAACTCTCTAGTCTTTGTTTATTGAAACAATCTTATTTAAACTCTTCTTCAACTCTGATAGTGACTAAAAATAATCTAAAGAAACATCAGATTATTCTCTAATTATTGTAGCATCACTCTGTTTACATGCAGACGTTCCCCTTTGACATCACTTCCTGTTTCTTCACATGCAAATATCTCAACAACTGTTCACCTCAACCACATGAAATTTGTTTTGCCATATTTTATCAATGTTCTCTTTCCAAAACTGCATTCACATTTATTACAAAAATTTGATGTCACAGGCACTTTAAGATAATATAGGATAAGATAAAACACATTCAAAAGCATATTTCTGTATAATAAAACAGAATTTGGAGCCTTATAGACATATTGTCATGAACTTTAAGAATTCAAAGTTAAAAGATAAAAGCAGCAACAACCACGTAGAAACAGATTTTTAAATTGTATAAAAGGAATTAAAGACTAAAGCAGCATCGACCTATCAGTAAAAATAAATACTAAGATGAGATAAAAGGGGTGACATGGGAGATAACCTCGCTGTCTGTGAAAACTCGAGTTCAAAACAAAGCGTGCTCTGATTATAGCCGTATTTATGTGTAAAGAACTCTCTGGAGCAAGACGTGACAATATATTTTCATCTTTTTTATTTATTTATTTTATATATTTCCCTTTAGTTCTGCTCTGCGGGCTCTTTTGTGCTGCTCACTGAACAGAAAACAGGCAGAAGGAGACCTCTTCCTCAAAGAGGTGTAGCCGCAGCATCATCCAACGTGGAGTGAAAACTACAGACACTGACAAAGCCTGTTTGGATCAAAGATTAAACCAGAACTTATGTAAGAATTGTAAAGTAATAATAATAATAATAATAATAATCTAGTAGCTTTAAACTTGAAAAAATGATTTTAAAGATTGGTTTAAACTTTGGATAATTGTCGCACTTTAATGGCTTTTTCTCAACTGATTAGAAATACTCATTTTGCACTATAATAATAACATAATAACCGCTTTGTGAGTTTTTAAAACTCAAAAAAATTTCACTTTATTACCGTCTCTTTTTCATTCATTCATTCATATGTCTATTAAAGCTGAAAAGAAAATTGAAATCACTAAATTGTAGCCTTTTGCCAAAAACTACCAGTTTTGTTCTCCCTTTTGTTCACTTTAATATTATGTAAGTCTTTTTGTCCACTTTAATGTTATGTAAGTCCGATAATTATACTAAACTAAAAAGGTATTTTAGTTTACTTTATTTTCCATTTCTTTTTCACCATTGAAAGTTCAAATGCATGGTTTAAAAATGGAGAAACTGCTTAAAGCTATAAAGACGCGACAATTCTTTTTATATGAATGGAACATTTCAAACACCAAATCAATATTGCGCTAAGTGTAAAATATGAAAAATAGGTTTGAGTGAATTTTTAAAAATTTGAGCCAAAAAAAAAGAAAAGCTCTAGTTCCGCCTTGTAATTAAAAAAACAGGATTAGATTAAAAAAAGTCTTTGAAATCTTCCCAGAATGACTAAAAAGCCAAATGAGGCCTGACCTCTAATTGGCAAAACGCAAAGTGCCTTTTTAAAAACAAATTAAACCCGAAGATGGGTCAAGCAGCCGTGAACACCTTTAACAACGCTGCAGAGGTATTCATCTCACTTCACGTGTTATCTCCGCCTCCGACAGCAGCCGCTTCAGCAGGATCTAAATATAGCTCTGAACTTGTTATGAAATACCAAAAAGAACGGCTATATTTAATGAGACAATCTGACGCTTTTCAGACTACAGCTTGATGTAATAACGGTGTTTAATGTCATCCCTTCCTCTCCTCTCTGCGCCAGGAGGAGCATGATTTTCTTCAAAGAAAAAAAGATTGCATAATTTTTTTTCTTCTTTTTTTTCTGGAAATTGCTTTCTTGTCATGTGCGGAGAACCCCCCAAAGGTTTGCCACGGTGTTTACAAGATCCAGCACAGACAAAAACAGAACGGACACGACTGAGGAGACGCAGGAAGGATCAGTTCAGATGGAAAGAACAATCTTTGATCGACGGCACAACCGTCGCTTTTTGGGGTCTCTGGGGGGGAATGAGCGCACATTTTCACACGAAAAAATAAAAAATAAATAAACATCTAACACAAATGTTTCACAACTTCAAAAGCAGACTCATGAAGATGTTTCAGACAGAAACGAAACAAGAGCTTAAAGGCCAGTAGGATTAAAGCCTGGGTAAAATGATTGAAGAAAATTTAAAGAACAAGTTGGTAATAAGAACTAACTTAATGTAAAAAATGATAAAAGTCAAGAGTGACATCCGACTTCTACCTCTGAAACACTTTATTATGAGGATCACTACTGAAAACTGGATTAAAGGCAATGCATCCACTGCCTTTCAAGCCAGAGTGTTTTCATCTTGTGCTCAGAAGGAACGAAGCGACTGTAGATGTTTTGGTCAAACCTTGTAATCTATGTCATGTTCAGTCTTTTACAATATTTTTGAAAAGTAGCACGGCCAGAAATTTTTTAATAGGGTGTAGGTCCGGTGAAAATTCTGTGGTGGCATAAGAAACAAAAGTCAAAACTGAACTTCAAAAATCCTGCTTTACTGATGATGGAGAACTTCTAAAAATGTTGGCAATATGAACGTTACTACCAACTTATGAAGGTCAGTTTCTCATTTTACATGTTATATTACAGATTATGTGATGGGACTAGCCCAAGTCCAATATTTAAATGGGGGTATTATGCAAAATCAACTAACAAATGCACTCGCGCAAACACACACACACACTCATCTGGAGTGGTCAGAATGTAAAGCATCTCGTTTTAATTTAAAGAGACAGAATCAAAACGAGTTGATTTGAGACACACCTCAGAAAAAAAAGGGTGAAAGAGGGGCTTGTGGAGTTACAAGAAGGAGTAATTAAGACCAAAGAATTGCAGTTACACTTTATAAAGACCGCAACTAAAGAATTTAAATGTCAAAAAGAAGGATTCAAAAGCATGAAATGTCTACTTTAAGTATAGGGACTATTTAAATTTTTTAAATAAATGTAACAACCAAACTCTACATTATAAGGATCAACAATAAACCCATATTTTGATTTAAGTACAGTAGATTTGCTTTAGCCAATCTGCACATATTGAGAACTCAGAACATGGCTGGGAGAGATATTTAGTTTGTTTACACAGGAATGTCATTTTCACAAAAAAAAAAGTATTGCCTAAGAAGAGTGCATGCACACAAATCTCCCCCAAGTTTGGCACTGGTTGCCTGGAGACAGAAAAGATATCCAGGAAGCACTTAGCCTTTTTTTTTTCCAGCTGTAGAATTGAATGCAGGCTGTATCTGTCAAGCTGTCAGATGAAAGCCCTGCTACTACTTTTCCAGATGAGCAGGAGGAAGAGGACAACGGAGCAGCACGTAAGAGGGAGAGGGTTCATAATATTCTGAGTTTGGAGAGTTTAGGCGCTTCAGTTATACGCGACTGCTTCCAGGTGTGTACTTCGGCATTTTGACAGCCTGTTCGAGTGTTGGGGAGAGTTGCATTAACTAATAAACGTAAAAAAAAAAGAGCAGTGTTCAGCTCACACTGATAAATGC